GATTTGAATAATTAGATTTGAATCATTGATCTGAATCGTATGATTCAGTGAACTGAATTACTTTATTCGAATCATTGATCTAAATCACATGAATTAAATCAGTGATTTGAATCATTGTATTTGAAATATTAAACTAAATCACGTGATTTGAATCACTGATCTGAACCACTTGATTTGAATCACTAATCTTAATCACACACTTGAAACGAATAGTGATCTGAATCGATGCTTCGAATCATTGATCCAAATCACTTCATTCAAATTACATGATTCTAATCAGTGATTTGTGATTCAAATCTGTGAATCATTGTTCTAAATTCAATGATTCGAGTCAGTGATCTGAATCGCATGATTCAAATTGTGATCCAAATCGTATGATTCAAATCACTCGTCTGAATCACTTGATCCAAATTGTGATCCGAATCATTTGATAGAGGTTATATATATTCTTTTTAAATGAGGAATAAAGCAACATTTTAAAAACAATAAAAAAAGTGATTAAAACCAGTCATATGTATTGCGAAAAGCATTATAAATTCGATGATATAAATCAGCTGAGTATTGAATAAATTATTGCTCAGAGAAAAAACTTCTGGTAAAATTAACGTACTATATGATTATGCCATTTCTAGTAAGAAAAAAAGAAATTCTGGTTAATAAACCAAAATATGCGGCAATTAAGCCATTCATTTGGTAACGGTTTACCAAAAACTCTAATTTTCAAAATTATAGTTCTCATTACCACACATTTAGTAAAAAATACAATACTGTAAAATTAACTTAACCGAATAAATGGTTTTTATGCCATTATATAAGGTATCATAATGAAATTACTAAATTTTATCACATATTGTAAAACCATATTTTATTGCTAATTTTGCCAAAATCGTTACCAAAGCGCTTCGTTGAAACCTACCGAGTTTTTGGTGTACTTATGGAGACAGAACATGGTAAATTTTACCATCTTTAGGTAGTTATGACCATACTTCTTTTCTCAGTTAGTGATCAACTTGTCATCAAGGTCTTAATTTCAAGTGATATTATCAACAAAGATTATAAATACGAAAACAAAGAAATAAAGAAGATCATCAATAATACAAAGCAGGAATAATTCATCATAATATGCTTTTATTAATCTGATTGAATTTGAAGACAAGAGCTTTCAAAGATTACTTTTATGTAACCATTAGATCATCATTGGCAGCTTCCTCATTTTAAATGTACTCCTCATCCGCATATAAATTACATAAAAAAATAAAAAATGCAATGTCCAGTGAAATATGTCCTTCACAAAATAAGTGTTCCCATCTTTTCAGTTCTGTCCGTAAATTTATGTTTCATATTTACCTCGTTATTTACCTCCTAAAATGATTTTCTATTTTAAGTTTGCTCTCGGAAATGCTTGTATGATGGGTTCTTGGAATTATTATTAACCATTGATGGTTTTTGTTCCTTAATATTTTAGAAACTTTGACGAATCAGTAATTAAACAATGGTTTTATAATCGGACATTTATTCTCTTAACTAAATAAAAAAAATGCTTTTAGATTTTTGGGAAAAAAAATTAACCTTTCAAAACGTTGCAGAAAGATATTTCTATTGCGTTTTTACAATGGTTTAGTGTAGGATCTTATTCTGCGTATTTGATGTTGGATATTTTAGCAAAAATTAAACAATGATGGGAAATGTAGTTGGAAAGAGATGATTGTATTGTCCTCTCTGCTGAATGAATGCAGCTTGAGGGGTGTTTTCTCTGTTTTTAGTTAGTTATATATTTGTCTTACTAGTGCCTTTGTTAGAGAGTCTTTCATTTTTCCTTTTAATAAACTCTATTATTGTTTTAAAAAAGTTTTACAGATTTTCTATGAATGGGGGTTTTATTTTATATTTTATCTGTAACCTAATTTTTTACAAGATTGCTTATAGGCCAAAGAAATTTTAGAAGGGGGCCTTATTAATATTTTGATGAATTGTAAAAAAAAACTCGCAATGTTACTAAAAGACTTTAGCTTATCATGAGAATTGAGACAAATGGAAGACATGGATTAAATTTTCGCTGTTGGATAAAGTCAGAGGGAAATTGATAGAATGTAAAAAAGAGTTTTAAGTCTAAAGAAGGGAAAAACTGGAATATGAATTAAAAAAAGATAAATCATTTTCAACGCTGTACTATACTATTAAATAAGAGTTCAGGCAATTAATTCACGATTGTTTAGATGGAAAGAAAGCGTGGGAGAATTTGAGCCCAAAGCAAGAGCTAGACTTATTCAGATACTAGATGAGTTTTTCAGTATAAAATATCAGGCAAATCAAAGTACAGGTATTTCTATTGTTCGACTTAAAGCAGCAGGGAATAAAGCTTTGTGAAGCGGGTCATAAGTAGAATTAATTGTTTCAAAGCTTCCAAGCAATAAGACACCTATCACCTGAATTCTCGGGTATACTTCAGCAAATCTATTGCTGGAAACATGAAGATTTTTTGCTAATTGTTTTTAAAATTGCTCTTGAAAGAAGTAGACTTACATAAGTGAAAGCTGATAATATTAGTCCAGGTGTTAATGATTTCAATGTTTCTGCTATAAGTAAAGATGATGTAGAAATATATGGAGACAGTAGAAAATCTCTCAGTAAATTAAAGTCAGAAAATAACAGAAAAGTCATTGGTCCATGTTATCACTGCCACAAATATGGACATTTATTTTGAAATTGTAGAGATAAAAATGTAAAGTCAAAGTGGAATAAACAGAAAAGGCATTACAATAACCAGTTAGGTGAGACATACATATTATGTGATGTGAAAGTTTGTGAAACTATGATTAGAAACGATGGTGGAAGTTGGGTTTTAGGTTCAGCTGCAACGGAACATTTCTGTAAAAATACAATATTTTTGTCAAATTCTGAAGAAATGAATAATGTAAACTTCACTTTTGGGGATTCTTCTAGTAAAGATACTAGGAAAAAGGAATGTTGATTTTTCAGTTTTTCAGTACAATGCAGTTTTAATTTCAAACATTTATAAGAATTTTACATTACTTATATGATGATAACTATGTGAATAACATGTTTTACATATCAAATTCCGATTTAAAGTAAGATTTATATAAACATATCGCTAATACATTTTTCATATTAAAGCTTAGAAATTATCGAATACGTCACTTTCTAAAAACGTTCAAGAATATTGTAATTAGAATAGCAATTTCTTCCAACACGAAACAACATTTCTTAAAAAGTAACGTCTATTTCTTAAAAATATTACTATAAAAAATAAAACATAATTCAAATTTCGATTTTTTTTAAATATTAGCAGAAATAATTAAAATACCGAAGCACAACAATCAATTGCTGAAAGATCTCAGCAAATTTACAAAAGAAGTTCTAAAAACGCTCAAGAACATTGTAATTATAATAACAATTTCTTTCTACGAGAAGCAGGATTTTTAAAAAAATAATTACTATTTCTTAAAAATATTACTATACAAAATGAAACATAATTTAAATTTAGATTTTTTTAAGAATATTAATAGGAAAAATTGAAATACCAAAGCACAACAATCAATTGCTAAAAGATCTCAGTAAATCTATAAATGAAGTTCTTGGAGAAATGGTAAATTTGAAACTATTGAAAAGTTATTAGTTTGTTTCTTTAAGACTTACCTAAGTACAATATTTAGTTTAGGTTTTTAAGAATTAGAAAGAGATTATAAAAGTATTTCTATAAAGTGAGTTATATTTTATCTCACTTATTACAGACAAGTTCAATATTTTGCATGCAATTTTTTTCTATTTTTATTTAAAAGTTATTTTGATACTCATCATCTCTGTCTATGCTGAATTTTCTCAATAAAATTAACCTCGAATACGTACTGATAAAAATTAAAAATTTAATAAGAACTTAACGCATTCGTAGTTTTTTTCTAATAAATTTTTTTGTATAACTCGTGAATTGTTATTATCTAGCTTAAAGCTCTATAAATTATAATTTATATTTCTACATACTTTAAAAAAGTCATTAATGCTAAAAGATTGCATTTTATGGACGCAGTGAATCTATACCGAGAAGAATTTTAGAGTCCCAAGTATTATAAAAATTATATTCTAAAAAGCTTTTTTTTTAAAACTTGACGAAATTTATTTGTTAAACAATAATAAACTTTAAATATAAATTTCATTCATTTATTATTGTTCTCAAATACAAATTCATGTTCTTAAAAATGAGAAAAAAATATTTTGGTAAATATTAAGAATAAAGTGTGACAACATTCAGCAAATTAAATCCAATATAAATTATATCATTTTTAAATATTATTTTAACGAAATTAAATGTTTTTATTAAGAAAATTTAATTTTGTGTTACCATTACGCACATATTTTTCTGGAGGATGATAAAAATAATCTCATGGTTATTCTAAATCTTAATAAAATATTACTGCACTGAAATAGGTAATATTTCATAAAGAGAAAACATTCTTAAATGAAACAAAATTATCTTAGTATAAAAGGAAGAATAAAATTTGATAGATATTTGGTATTAAAACATAAAAGAATTTAAAAGTAATTATAACTTGAAATATGTATAATAAATAGCTTTAAACATTAAAAATTTGTTTGATTTTACATATTCCTGACATATCCAATAGTAACAACTCATTCGTGGGTAAAATAATTCAGATAACTGTTTCTGCAAACATTTTGCAAAATAAATATCGAACTTTCTATTACTTTTGTAATTGTTTCAAGGCTGTTTTTCAGTAAAAGAAAAAATCCAATTTGGAAATAAATTTTAAGCTTTCATTTTAAATACTTTCAACGAAATTTCATTGAAATAATCCTGAATAGAATGTTCTATTCATTTTAAAACGAAACTCGAGAAACAGAGAATATCACCCACCATACTAATCGTAACAAAGCTTGCATCATGATTGGTTGTCCGCGCGTGTCGTCGCACCTGCGCAAAAAAGGAGTAGACTAATATGTTCTTTTTTTTTCCTCTCATCTCCCTTTTAAACATCTCTCCCGCTCTCTTCTGTCTTCTTCATTATCAGGAACTTTTATCAGTCAGTTCTTTGCTTTTCATCCATAATCGGTTTCATATCTCTTCATTTAGAAGTTTAGTATGGGACGAGTGAAAGAATTTAGATCTATTTGCGGTATGGAAGAGTTAGGAGCAATTCGCCAACTCGCAAAAGCTGTTGTAGCTGAATTTTTAGGTACCGCAATTTTGGTACTTGTAGGTTGTGGTTCGTGTATTGGAGGCTGGGGAGAAAGTCCCACTATTATCCAAATAGCTATAGCCTTTGGAATTACAGTAGCCACAGTGGCCCAATGTATTGGAGGAATTAGTGGCTGTCACATTAATCCAGCTGTCACTTGTGGCATGATGGTCACTGGAAAATGCTCATTTTTGCGAGCCGGACTTTATATTGTTGCTCAATGTTGCGGAGCAATAGCAGGAGCTTCTATTTTGAAAGCTGTAACCCCCCAAGCGCAGGTTGGGGCTCTTGGATCTACTTTAATTAATCCAGAGATAACAGCGTTTCAAGGACTTGCTGTAGAATTCTGTATCACTTTTGTTCTCGTATTTACTGTCTTCGCTGCCTGTGATGATCATCGATTAGACGTACAGGGTTCGATTCCCCTCGCTATTGGGCTATCCATCACGGCTTGTCACTGCTTTGCTGTAAGTATTAAGCTTTATTTATTTTTTTTAAAAATTGAATATTATAGTTAAAGAACAAAATTTCCGTATATTTAAGGAAATAAACTCAAATATAATTAGAATCTAAAAGTTGTAAACAAATAGAGGCTGTTAAGGAGGCAAAAAGAAGTTGTAGAGGAGGAAAAACAACTAGAGGTTTTAAACCAATACATAAAAGTTTTACTTTTTAAAGCTTTTGTAAGAAATAATTCACTGTTATAAAAAGTATATTTAATGTGGTTGAATATAAATAGATTATGAAAAGGGCATATTGAAATTAAAAGTAGTACAAGAAATCAGATGCAGCTATTTCTAATTAATACTAATGTTTATTACCAGCTAAAGTTCAAAACAATAATGAATTTAAAAAATATTATATAAAAGTTCATTATTCACTTGACTTTATTTTAAACCATTTGTATATCAAATTTAAAAAGTTTATTTTCTTTATGTGAATTTTCAGTTAAGTAATGTAATACGTATTATAATATATACTAAAAAGGAATTATTTAGCTTCAAACACATATTAAAATTGTAGCAATAAAAATATTAATTTAAATATAGCATTAAATTAGCGACCAGTGAAATAAAAACTCTCAAAGACATTCCTATTAAGAGAATTTCTTTTTAAAACTTTAAAAAAAAATTTTTTTTTGGAAACTTCGCTACTTTTTAGATGAATGAAGTTAAAATACAAAAAAAGCCTTTTTGGTTAACTTTTTTTAGAACTATCAAAACAAAACCTTCTGGTTAGCTGGAAAAATCCCTTTTCATCAAACTGAATGTAAAACTTACAGTATCCAGATCATAATCATTAGTCAGAAAAAAATATGAATAACCAAAACAATAACAATAATTTAAATAAATTCTTCTTTATTAAATTAAAAATGGTAGCAAAATAATTCTCTCTAAAATTGAGAATTAATTATCTCTAACATTACACCTAATGTAACATTTTTAAGGATTTTAAAATGTTATTCTTCAGGCTAAACTTTAAACATAAACAAAAGTTTAATTCTTCAAATGAAAAAAACATTTAATCTCAAATTTTAAAAAAAAAAAAAAAAGTGCATTTAGTAAGTGTTTTTATGTTTTTCAAAAACAAATATGTCAAAAAATATTTCCATTTTTAAAAGCTATATTACATATTTTTTTTAGTTTGGCAGGTATTTTTAAGACAGATAAATAAATGCAATTTTTATCTTCTTTTATGAATACAAAAATACCACGCTGAGTTATTATCAAGAATTAGCTCATCTTTAGTAAACACTTTACTGATAAAATGGCTTGTAATAGTCTTTAATATTTGCGGAATGTCATACCGAATTTTGAGATGATAAAATTGAACAATAGTATTTTATTTGAAATTGTGAGCATGAGAGATTTATAGAATTATTTATAAACAATACATTTTCATCATTGAGACTACTTCTTTCAACAAGCATTTCACTCTATAGTACTTATTTAATTGTATTTCAGAGAATTTAGAGTAAAAAATAAGTGAAGCCAAATTTACATGATTTATTGTAAAGTCAAAACAGAAAAAAAAAATTAATTTTTTGAATTAATCTAATATTCCAACTTTCTTCGGAGCGCAAATGATTCTAAAAATATAAATATAAACCGTTGTTGAAATTTGACGAATTTTTATGCCAATGAGAACTGATTGGCTTTAAGCATTTATCACTTTTTAAACTATATTTGTACTCAGTTTATTCCATTGAAAACTGGATAAACAGCAAAGCAAACCTAAGAAATATTTTTTTATTTGTTCTAGTTTTTAAAGGAGAAATAACTTGTTGCTTCATAAATTGGTTTAATAAAACGATTGAAATAAATACAGTTTTATTGATTGTAACAAAATAATACATTGCTTTTTATATAGTGACGCAGCGATTTACATAAAATATTACTGTATAATTTCGAAGGGTCATCAAAGTTTAAATAAACAAAAGGGCATACTGCATAAATAATATACAGCTACATAAAATTCTTTCAAAGTATTTATTCAGTAAATAAACATTCAGTTATATCGTTGTAAAAATTAATTTATTTACCTACTTTACTTACTCCAATTTACTGGAAACTTATAAACAAAAGTTTCAAATGAGCTTAAATAAAGCACAATGTTTAGAATTTCTGTTTTAATTTAATTTAAAAATAAAACTGACATACGTTTTAAAACTAAGTACAGCATAGTTAAAATGTCTTATTTCATCCCAAAAATAAGAAATAATATACAGATAAATTAAAAAAAATAAGAATTCTTAATAAGACGCTTCAATTATTGCTCTATATCGTAAAAGATAGTTTCACTTTGAAATACTATAGTTTTAAATCTAAAACAGAAAATCTGGGAAGGGTTTGAGTGTTGGAAATTAGGGACAAAAAACCTTATTGATAAGAACCAAACACAACATTACTCAAATTTTTGGTTCTTGTCATCTTTATTCAACTTAATTTAGCTTTTTATTTATCTCATAAAATAAAATTCTAGGTAAATATCTTAAAGTTTTAAGTCTAAATTTTTTCAACAGTAAATATGCTTAGTTATCATTGCGAATGATTTCCAAATACTCAATAAATTACGAAGCAGTTATCAAAACCGTTATTCTCAACAACAATAGAACATTTAAAACATTTCATGCATAAAATAGTAAAAAAATCTGAAAATTAAAAAAAAAGAAAGAAATTAAGACAACAAATAACATAATAAAAAGTCCTATAATGTAATTTAAATAGTAATTATCTAATGCAACATTGTACAGCAAATTCATGATATATTATTATATAACAGCTAAACATAAATCATCAACAAATACGGAAAAATATTATGTATACCATAATTGAAGGTGAAAATATATTATAGCATCTAATTTTAAATAAATTTCAGTCATTTTTTTAACTAATAAACCAACTTAAATGGTTGTGGCAGCGTAGAAGCAGAACAAAAAGAACGACTTCTAGGAAGAACTGCAAATAATCAAATACAAATAATGCAGGTTCCTTTTTTTTTTTTTTTTTTTTTTTTTTTTTTTTTTTTTTTTTGTAAACCTTATGAATTTACTATTAAGGCATTACTAAGTATACTATAATATTCCGTATCAAATTACGGTATAAAGTACCGGTCCTTTAAGTGCATCATCCATAAGATATCCATTTTTACCATAATTTTTACAGAAATATTTATTTAATTAGAGTAATTCAGCGATTTTACGGTAATTATTACTGTGAAAATTATGGTACAACAGATTTTTGGTTCCGTAACATGTTTCTGTAAAAATAGATTGTACGGTAAATAGTACCGGTAATCTAAGTGCCGGTAATTTTCACCGAAATTTGACCAGGAATTTTTTACAGTGTAGGTAATAGAAATCGGCCTTTCTGTACCTAGTGATTTACGAAATTTTAAATTTATTAAACGAGCAATGAATGCTATACTTGCAAATCAATGCATTTTACAGAATAAAAAAATTAAAACTTAGCAAGGGTGTCATACTTTTTCTATTTTTAAATCCCGTCGAAGCTATTGATATTTTTTTAAATTATTTTCCTTCCATTCGAATGAAAATTACTTTCATTGTCGCTTAAAATATTATCGCCCACACACGAAGATAATAGCTTACATTCAAATAACTGTTTTTATTTTAAATGATGGGAACTTCTTTTGACATGAAGTTCTGACTTTAAAAAAGAGAAGGATTCTAAAATATTTCGATTCATAAAAAGCAATCACTGTATGACATTTAATGATAGACATTATTTGTTCGGTCACGAAATTTGTATTTAATGTTATATAATGATATATCATTGACGTAAAATGCAATTTATTATCTGCATAGAACTAGTTCTTTTTTATTGTTTTAATTCATGTTTTAAATAGTTTTATTGTTTACAAAAACCATTTTATTTCTTCCTGGATTTGTATAGCTTCAATTGTTAAATGAAAAAAAAAATGTTCCGTGCACAAAATTAGATACCTGAACACGTGAAAGCCAACGGAAAGCTCTTTCTAAAAACTAGGAAAATTTGGAATTGTTAAGGAATTCGAAAATATCACTGGTAAAATTTGGAATTTGTAATCAGCTTATAAGGTTTTCAAGCACAAAAAATTGTCGGAAATTTTTCACTTTTGTAATTTATAAAGTAACTAAGGAATAATTTAAAATTTAAAGGACAAATTCATAACCTTGTTTTTAACCATTCAAATAATTCTTTAAAATGGAACAAGAAATTTATTTTAATGTTATTGTTCAGAAATTGGCTGATTTTCTTTCAAATTTGGATTTGACTTTCAGGAATGCATAGTTTGAACTAGTGTTATAATTTGTGTACAATACATTTTAAAATATTTTGATCTTTAATGAATTAAATGATAAAAATAATAGAAAATTATATAAATAATATTTTTGCTTAGAAAATTTTTTGCAAACGTGAGTTCTATAATTGTTCGAAATTTTTATTTATTTATTTAATTCTATTTAGTTATTTATTTTATTTTCTTTATTTTTTGATTCAGTCAAAGATATTACGAAAATCTCAACCTGGAAAATAAAAGATCGAAATTTTGAGGGTCTGTCAAAAAAAAAAAAAAATTGTGTCCACTTAAATTAGTTAACGGTAGCCTTTCGAAACATTGACCTGAGTAGGCAAAAAGGTTTTCTTTCCAAATTAAGATAAATTAGTTTGCATTCATAAACAAAACTTCACATAAATAGCGAATTTACTTATCGAGTATGGAACTATTTATTTAAAAAAATGTTTATGCTAAACCATATTTTAATTTTAGCAAATTAATCAAATAAAATTACTATTTATTAGTAAAATGAGGGAAAATAAAAGATTGGAAAATTCTTTCCAAATAATTTTTTACAGTTACTACACTGTAATAACTTTACACTAAAATTATTCACGTGAAAGTAATTTTTTAAAAGAGTAACACGTATGAAAAAGACAAGCTTTGTGCAGGTTTTCAAAGTTTA